ACATCTCCTCGTGACCCCGCAGCTGACAGGTCCCGAACTTAGAGAGAGAGTGCACGGGTGAAATTGGGGCGGAACTCGACCGGGCCAGCCCCGGTAGCAGAGACCCACAGAGACCGGAGAAGCAGGGACCCGCCAGCAACGCGGAGCAGACGCGCCGCTTCCCAGGTGCGCACAGGAGACCGGCGCCATGCTAGCAGCTGGCACCCCGAGATCCCTGCGCCCCCATAGATGTGAATATGCTGAACCAGCACTGGAATGGGTGAGGCCAGGTGTTATGGGAGGAATGCAGGGTGCAGCTGCTCTACCTCCAGCCACATTTCAGAGCAGCTGACCCAGCTGGGAACCATGATGAGTGTTCAGAAAGCTGGGACGGGAAGACAAAAGGATGGGCACAGCAACAGCAGGCACTGCATATGGGCTGGCAGCTTCCAGCTGGGTCTTCCTTCACCTCCACCAGCCCAGCTCCGCTGTCCCAACCCCATTTTCCTGCCTGGGCCCTACTGTTCATTTGACCTCTATGGCAATCTCACTCAATCTGGGGCCAGGCTGCTACCCACTGATGACAAGCTCAGACCCACAGCCACATGTCTTTCCTGACTGCCAATCATCTGCTGTTGGCCAAATTCTTCAGCCTTCTAACCCAATACCCACCTCAACAACCCAACCAGGACTGCTGACACCACTACTAGCTCTCATGGACATCTGTCTGTCTCCCTGCAGGTCCAGCACACTTGGTCCTGTATACTTTAAACACAACTCTGTAGATTAAAACCCTCAGTTAGGGGGCTGGAGAGATGGCTCAGTGGTTAAGAACACTGGTTGTTCTTGCAGAAGACCCCAGTTTGAATTCCAGCACCCACATGGCAGCTAACAACTGTCCGTAACTCCAGTCCCAGGGGATCCGACAGCCTCTTCTGACCTCCACGGGCATTGCACGACATGGGTGCACTTACCTACATGCAGGCAATACACGCATACACATAAAAAATAATAAAATTTTTAAAAAAGAAAATTTCTAAAAAAACAACAACAAAACCAAACCCTCAGTTAGACTCCAGTTCACATACCCAGCCCAGATTAGAAAATCTCACCCTGCTACCCTGCCACCATTCCTACATGTCACCTGCCCACAGGCCCCTCAGGACTGAGCAAAGGCTTCCAACTTTGTCTGGTCAAATGTGGCTTTCCCCTGACACATGCATTCTTTAACACTGTGCTTAAAGTAGGTCATAAGGCTAAAAATAAATCACTAGGAATAAGTGTTTCTATGTTCCCAGACCTGCTCAATGAAGTAGCCTGAGCTGGCCACTCATTTTATTCTGACACTACATACAGGATCCAGACCAAACAGTGCTGTGACTTTGAGGGCAGTGTGAGCTACATGTTGAAAATTTGTCTCAAAATCAAAGTGCACCCAACATCATCCCTGTGAACGTACACCTGAGCCAGAATGTGAATAAGAAGCTCAGTCAAACCTGACAGCTGACCACTGCCATCAAAAACTATTGTCCTGGGATGAGGAGACAATTCGGAGCTTGTTGCACAGGTGTTAGGACAGGAGTGTGGAGCCCCAGAACCCACGTTACATGTAGGCCTGTTGGTCTGCTGGTCCTTCCAGCACTCAGGAGGTGGAGATGCGGGATTCTAGGAGCAAGCTGGTTAAACCGGCTAAACTGGTGAGCTCTGGGTTGAGTGCAACCGAGGACGACACTGCGCGCGCCCGCACACACGCACACACACACACACACAATTTTCTTAGCCATTTCCTGATCTCCTCCAGGTCTCCCTGTGTATTCACCCCTGAAGGGAGGCCACTGGACAATGACTCAGCACTTCCAGGGTGACTTCGTGTCTTGCCAGCTACCCAAGATTTCCTAACCAACCCAGGAGCACAACTGATTCTCCATGGCTGTGGAGGGGAAGGTCCACTGCAATCATCCTTTCCACTTGGCAAACTGAAAAAGAACAGGGTAGCCAAGCAGCTTGTGAGGCTCAAAGATCCCAAGTGACCAAGAAAACTGTGTCCCCAGTGCTCTTGGAACATGGCTTCCAAAGGCACATGCATGTATGTATGTTCAAGGGTCTCTCCACATCCAGGGTCTCTACAAGGCTGCCCCAGCCCCAAGTTCTCAGGGCCAATCACAACCAGAGCCCCAACCGCAGGCTTGCTCCCAGTCACTACTACACGGGTAGGGTCTGGAGCAGTGGGTCACTTGCAAAGACTCAGACCCAAGTCACTGAGAAGCTAGCTCAGAAGCCATCTCCCAGCCTCTGTACCCATTTGGAAGTACCCAAGAGCTCAGTGCTACGGCCACTGCATCCACATGGAGTGGGACAGGTGCTGAGGCCTGGCCACACACACTTGCTCACCTGAGTGCGTAGGTGTAGCCGGTGTTCTCCGGCACACACTGGGGTGGGGTATACGTGTGCAGTCGAGAAAAGTCCATGTTCACTGTCTCAGACCATGCTGCAGGGACACAAGAGGACCAGGTGTTAAAGGTTAGCCCAACTCCAGCCAGCACTTCATTTTGACTTTAACAAAGGAGACAACTTTTCTCAGCTACAAGACAAAGAACTGTCATGTCTAGTCTCCTAATATGCACATGAAAATGAAAACAGGAGGGCTGGGGGAAAGCCTAGCTGCACAAGCATGAGGACTGGGAATTGACGCCCTGGAGGAACCCATGTAGAGCCAGCATTCCAACAGTCAGATGGGAGAGAGGGTGGGGAATTCCTGGACACCCACAGGCCAGCTAGGCTGGCCAATTACAAGATGCGCTGTCTCAAACAAAGTGGACAGTGAGGGTCAACACCTGAGGGTGTCCTCTTGCCTCCACATCTGCATCATGGTACATGTGAGTATGTGTTTATAAACACACACACACACACACACACACACAAAAGCAAAAACAAAATATATCAGGTGGACTAGGCAAGGTAGTGCACACCTATAATCCCAGTGCCAGGAGGAGCCTATTTGGGTCTATATGGTGAGACCCTGACTCAGAAAAAAAAAAAAAGTAAAGTCTTGGACAGGACTGTCATGATATAAACCAAGCACTTTCAAAAACACTACCTGGGACTCTAGTCCTTTTCCGAAACGTAACTTTTCATTTCCTAAAAGGGTCAAGATGCTCTGGTCTTGTGAGTAAGGATAACTATTAACTGGAAGGTGACTTTCATCCAGGGTCAAAGGCAGCATTCTCACACTACTCCACCATAAGCTCAGGTTTTCACAAGCAAAAAAAATAAGCAGCATAACAAAAGCTACGGAGGCTAATCAAAGGTTCTGAAGACTCTATACTCCCCTACGTAAACACACATCGCTTTTCAAGTTGTCTTGATTTCTCTGCAATGACTCAAACTTTCCACACTGGCTAAAGGGGATCTAACACACTCTTCCAGCCAGTGGCACCCACATACTTGTCACATTCACTAACTCAGACACACATATATACACATAGTAAAAATCTTAAACTTTAAAGTACTCAAGCACACATGTACAAGCACACATGCATTCATACTGAGACCACCAAAAGCCCTTGAGGTTGCAGGAGACTGCCTGAAACGTGCATGCCCAGTATGTGCAAGGCCCTGGATCCCATCCTAGCACTGAAAAACACAAAATAGAACAAAGTCCCCACAGTGGTGGAATCACCACCTGTTGAAAACTCCAGGGAAGTCAGGAGTGTGGCTCTCACCTGCAACCCCACCTTTCTGAGGTGGAAGACTGTTCTAAGTTTCAGGTCAACCTGAGCTACAATAGTGAGACCTTGTCTAAAAAAGACCAAGGTGGGAAAAAAATCAAAACAAAACCCAATGACCAACCAATCAAAACACTCTAAAGAAGCCAGGTGTGGTGGCTCATACCTGCAATCCTAGAAATCAGGAGGCAGAGGCAGGAAGATCATTGCTATTTTAAGGCCAGTTGAGTTACAAAGCAAGTTCCTATCTGAAATAAAACAAAATATAAAAGAAGAAAACTCTAAAGAAAATAAAATGGAGCCCAGGTGTGGTGGCACACGCTTTCAATCCCAGCGCTTGGGAAGCAGAGGCAGACGAATTTCTGTGAGGCCAGCCTGGTCTACATAGTGAGTTCCAAGCCAGCTGGGGCTACATGAAGACCCTGTCTCAAAAAGGCAAAAAAAAAAAAGGGAAGATAGCAATATCCAGGCATGGTGGCACACAACTGCATCACAACACTCAGGAGACACAGGCAGGGGGCACAGTTTATAAGCAGCCAGCTCTGAGACTCCATGTCAAATGCTGCTGTTACTACAGCACTGATTTCTTCTCTCTTTTAGTCTTTTTGAGATAAGTCTTACCCTGTCCCTCAGTCTGTCCTCAAACTCTGGGTTCAAGCACTCCTCCTGCTTCTGCCTCCAGAGTCACTGGGACAACAGGCTTGCCAGGTGTGTCTAGGAACTTGTCAGAACATGTGTAGAACACCTCAGAGCACTCGGGCCTTCATGAACACATACCCGGCAGGTTTGGCTCTGCAAAACCTGGACTTTTTGCAAATAACAGTAATGGATTACTGAACCCATGTAACACCTGATACCTGCTTAGCTGCCTCCATCTCCCTTTGTGCACTAATGACACTTTAACTGACACAGAAGAGACCTGCAAGGTGCAGAGCTTCATGGCCTCCACACTGGCTCTGCCATGTAGAACAGGGCCACACCCTAGCAGAATATAATAAAAGATTCTGAATGCCTGTGTCTGGTGACGGTTTACTAGGCAACAGAAACGCACTAGAGGAATCAGTAGCTGCTCCAGTTCTCACCCTTTAAGACAAAGGTCCAACTTTTTCTCTATCCCCCAATACTAACTCAGCATCAAACTCCAACCTCCTGCTTCCAATCCCCAGCTGACTTTCCATACTGCTGTCTTATGGCACCTGTGCTGATGAGCATCATCAAGTCTTGGTCCAAAGCTGCCCCAACTTCTACCAAGCAAGTCTGCACATCTTAGTGGGTAGGGGAACTTCTGAGCTTGGCTCACACACCCTGGGGTCTGCAGATCAGCAGACAGAGGGGTCACTGGGGGGAACCTTGGAGGCAGACTCAGCCCTGCGTCCCATTTGTTGCACCGTTAGCCATGGCAGTGCAGACCAACCACAGGGCCTCAACAGCCAGAGCTGGGGAACAGGGACACGTGAGAGAAGATACGTGTGGCTTTGTCTGAAAGACCTTGGCACAATCACACTTGCAGTCCCATGAAAACTACATGCACAGAGTCAGCATCTCCTTGCCTCATCCTGGTTCCTGAGTCACAGGACATCTAACAAATCTGTGCCACCATCACCCATGGCACTATCTGAAGAGAGCTTAACATAAGCCTCTGAGTAAAAGTCTGTGGAGACAAAAGCAGCCACAGGCCTAGTTCCACCTTCCCATCACAGGCCCACAGAGGCGTGACAGACCTGCAGCTGAGAGGGGCAGCTCTAGGAAGGTGTTTGCCAGCCAGCTGTGGAAGGGAACCAATGTGGACACATGCTGACTGAAGGAAGCAGTGACTGTGAGGCAGAGCCTGGCCACCAATCAAGCAGGAGCCCTAGGATCAGGCTCCCCAGAGAAACCCCTCTGAGCATAAGGTTGTATGCAGACCCATCACTCTCCCCATTTCCCAACACCTCTAGTGAGGATGGAGCCCTGACCCCTGACCTGGGCCCAATCTGACCAGATATCAGCCACACCCCAGGAAATGTGCATGCACGCACGCACGCACACACACACACACACACACGCATGCACATACATAGAGGCACACATGCATCTAAATGTATACACACATTCATAAGTGCAAAAGGCCAAACCCATCCAGGGCAGGAGTTGCTGGACAGAGCTCCAGAGGCAGGGGAGCAGCCAGCTCCTACCCCAGTTCACAGCAGATCTGAATTACAGGATGAGACAGTTAACATTAGAACTGATTTTTTTTTTGGTCTTTTTGAGATGATCTCCCTGTAGCCCCAGCTGTCCTGGAACTCACTATGTGGACCAGGCTGGCCTTGAACTCACAGAGATCGCCTGCCTCTGCCTCCTGAGTGCTGGGATCAAAGGCATGTGCCACCACGCCCAGCTGATTTTAATCTTTTGCAGCACCCCTGCAATAAGAGAAATTCAGGAGGCTGAGGCAAGAGAACTGCATGAATTCAAGGCAAGTCCAAGCTACAGAAGTACCGATTGTCTCACAAAACCAAAGAGGACAGAATGAAATAAGGAACTGCCTGACAGAGAACAGACATGTACTCAAACACTAGTTATAATTACTTTGTGGAATAATGTTAATATAATCTATGCTTTAAGTTAAAAAAGAGAATGAGAGATGGGCAAACGAGATGGCTTAGCAGGTAATGGAGCTTGCTCCCAAGCTTGATGACCTGTGTTTGATCCCTGGAACCCACCTAGTGGAAACAGAGAACCAACTCCCACAAGCTGTCCCCTGACCTCTGTGGCACCATGCACTTGTTCATTCTCTCTCTCTCTCTCTCTCTCTCCCTCCCTCCCTCCCTCGCCCCACCCTCTCTCTTTCTCTCACACACACAAATAAATAAATAAATGAAGTTTAAAAACAAATTTAAGATTAGTTTTCTCCTAGGCCAGCAATCCCAGAGATGGGAGATTAACTTGCCCTGCCCTACATAAAAGACCAAAGTCCACTGATCAGCATGCATGACTCAGACCTGACTTGGCCCTCACAAGTTCTAACACCTGCAGGCCAAACACAGTCTACTCTGCCTCCTACTGATGTCTGGGCACAGACTTTGCATCTTCCTGCTACTCCTGCCCCCTTGTCCCTATCCTGGCTGCTAACCATAGCTTGCCTTCTGGCCACACTCTGCAGAGGCTGCTCAGGTGGGACAGTCTGTGGACCTCATGGGAGGTTATCTGCACCACAGGCTGAACAGCAACAAGACTGTAAGTGAAGGAACACAACTGTTCTCAGAAGCAGAAAACCCTGAAAAGATGTTGATCAGGAGAGGTCATGCAGCTCTTCCAGCCCCTCCTGCCAGCTACAGTGTTTACCACTGGCATGATCTTTTGGTACATGGGCACCCTGGCTAAGAGAGCAATGACTTACTTGAATCCAGGTTGGTGCAGAAGCAAAAACAGGAGCTGGGGCTCAGGCTCCTGGGTATCAGCTCAGTGTGCCCCACGACCCAAGTTCCTGGGACTACTCTAGTCTGTAGAGGATCCCCATGAGCTGAGCAAGAAAACACAGGTGGAGAGCCTGCACTCCAGAAAAGCACACACCTTGGGCAATGTGGCCAAGAGAGCCCTCTGCAAGTGGAGAAGTACTGTCTTCCAAGTCACCCAGACAGAGGATCTGCCTTTGTCCTGTGCTTACTGCTGGCCAAGAGAACACAGGCTGCATAGGCCATAGAGGGAAGCCACAAGCTCTAAGGAACTGTCTTTACATGACCATTTTTGCTCTTTTTCCAGTACCAAGGATAGAAGTCAGGGC